GACTAGTCACCCTGTATAATGGCGTATATCATCTCTGGAGCAAGACGATGGCGTATATCTTGGAGCAAGACGTCCTGCCAAATATGCCGTTTTTGTCACCACAGATTTGTTTTCGCAGCCGGCTCGCGCGGATATAGTCAAGACCGAAAAACTATCCTTAAGATTTATTGTTGTATCTCATGTTCGTTGTTTTGAATGAGTGTTAGAGAAAAGATGCAACCTCTTTTGCATTATCCTAAAGGGAAAAGCTCGCATTTGTTTAGATTCGTAATCACCAGCGTTGATTGTATGTTCCCGTAATGGGACATCTTCGAGTACCTAGAAAACTGGTTATGGAATTACGCTTCAAAACCATCTTTTGAGACTTCTTCCTCAGCTTTGTGGTTCTGCTTTGCGCTTGACTTGTGAATAATGTAGAACATTGCGCTGCTGAATGTGCAAAGTACATGGCACTTTTCAGTTTGCCATTCAGACTATGGATTAAATGGGCTTAATTAAAGCGCGTGCGAGACAGAATTGTCCGTGTGTCAGTAGAAGTATAGTAGGCAGTAGTAGTTTCTCATGGAAATGTGGGGACTTCATAGGAACTGCGAGCACCATGCGAGACTCTTATGTGACTCCATGGTGATGGAGGGAAATAAACACTAATTTCTTAACCACCATTTCTTTCCGGAAATTGTCATCTTGGTCACTTCATTCTTTTTGGTGCAAAACTTGGGAACTGAAATGATCAAAGTAATTGTGCAATCTATCGCAACTCCCCTAAGTCGTTCATAGATTTTCTTCTAATTTTTTATCTAAGCTGTGATTATCATTTTCATATAGAGAGGATACTTTTCCGCATAGTGATTCAGAAATGATTTTAAAGCACCCTATTCCATAGTGTCTATAACTATCGCTTCTACATCCTTCCTAGATTGTGTTAACCTTACCTAGCTGGATATTTCATTTTAGGACGTACCGCCCGACTATGAAACGATTGGCACAATATTTGGCTATGCACTAGTTGCCTTATCATGGCTCCTCATCATCCTTACATTCCCCTTCTCAATGTGTGTTTGCCTAAAGGTTTGTCAATCCCTTCAAAAGAGCAGAGGAATACGAGTGACAAATCCATGTACGTTCAGGTTATAAAGGAATACGAAAGAGTTGTTATATTTCGGATTGGTCGACTAGTTTTCGGGGGAGCTCGTGGCCCTGGAATGATATTCATCATACCATGTATTGATACTTACAGAAAAATCGATCTCAGGTGAATCATTGTCATTATATTTTATAAGGCACCATGTACCAGTTAAAGATTATCGATTTTTGTATAGCTGAGTATTGGTATCATTCTGTGACCACAGTAAAGGCCTACAGAGCTGAAAAAGAAGAAAGTGCTCTTTCCTTCCGATTCAAAGAAAGGCATCTTTCGATGCACAGCAGCATACGAGGTTACCTTGGCATGACTTCATGTTCCAGTTAGTTGTGAACTTGGAAAATGGTACAAAGGTCTCCATGCCCTTGTATATGGTTCAGACTAATTATCGACTTGGGCACACGTTGATGTCCTCAGTTTGACCTGGGAGATCTGTATCAAAGAATTTTGCATGCCTTGTTCCTAATTACTTTTTCCTTGATTAGCCGCTCCAAAAAAGTGGACTAAATGGAATTTTT